TTTTTGTCATTTTCTTTGAACCTATCTATGTGACTTTACCGAAAGACCCAAAGGTTATTACACTTTAGTTAAACATACAAATAGGACCACAATGGCCGGGGAGCTGGACCATTTTTTTTATGAAAGCGTGAATTGTCATGTGAGGGGAGTTTGTGTAGAAATTGCAGCTCATTAGGCTTCGTAGATCCGAAGATATTAAGCCTCAACGATTCCAAAGAATATAAACGGACAACATGGCAAGTTCAATAAAAGGGTGTGAAAAAGGGCACCTCCACGAGATTCTGTATGGACTGCTGAAAGCTGAGCAGCATAATCGTCATCGATACTTTTCCCGTCCCACACATCGACCAAGATGCGTTTTAACTGCCTGGTGGTGGGGTCAAAGAAAGTCCTTCTTCACACTTTACCCTAACAACGCGCCAATTATAATCAAATCCTGGAAGTCAGAATCAAGTTGAAATTACTTCCTGAATGACTTCCAAGAAGCTAGAATGACTTCCCGGATTTTATTCTCACCTGGAATTTTTACATCGTTTCGAACAAAATGGCCCTCATCCAATTGCCTAATTTGATTGTGAGAACTGGTCTTAAAACTATCCAGTTAGATGCATTGATCGCTCGTGGAAGTGACAATTTATTTTTCGGCTATGACAGGTTTGCAAAGGGCCTTTTGTAATGCAAGTCCTACCTTTATTTATTGCGTAGCCTAACCCAACAAAATGAAATTCGTCAGCGGTAGTAGATGAGTACGGATGCCTCCAACAACTGCTTTGAGGCGCTCCAACTAATCTGCGTCCCGTAGTCGTCCCAGTCGAAGGCGGAGAAGTCGCCGCACTGTCTCGGAGACTGCTCCGGAACGTATCCCGCGCCGCCGATACAGTACTGCAGAGAGACAAGCACGGGTTAGAGTTCTCAGCTGCAGCACAGTCACACATCGACATGGCTGAAAAATTGCACCCCCGGCCCCCGCCGTCACCTGTTCCCATTCCCAGACTTACAGGGGTCACCTTGTCCCTGACAACAACAACCGCCCAATCACTGCCCTGCATCCCATAATTGCCTAACGGGCCGTCTCCGTCCAGCTGTTGTCCCCTAGCAACACCAGCATGTCCCGATACAACCCCACTGTCCCCAACCCGCACGTGTTTACAATTACCCCCCTTAAACCATTACAAATGCATTAATTCATATTTACTGTACCTACAACAGCCTGTCGTTAACAGGAGAATGGTCGGTAAGTAAACACATTGGGCTCTATGGAGGCACTACACTACTCTATGCACTACACTACTATACACTCCACTACTATACACTACACATTGGGCTGTATGGATACCCATCGTTAAGTGATTAGTCGTTAACAGGGGTGGTCGTTAAGAAGGGTATTTTCTCAGTGGATCACCCCTCGTTCATCCCAAGACCCCCTAACCACTCCCCATTCTAACAACGACCATTACTGTTCTTCCTTCACATTCTCTCTCCATGGCGACCACTCATTTCCCATCCATCCAATCCTTTCATCGTCCTTTGCTCTGGTATAAAACAAGGTTTTACTTAATTCACGCATCACCAGTCCGCCCATCACTTCCTCTCGTCTTATTGTATTCACCTCGTCGCCACCATTACGTTCATACATACCGTTGTTGATGCTCCGTAGATGCGCCTTACTCAAGGCGCTATATAAATTACGACAAGACGAGATGCTCCATTCATTGGCTGTTACTCTCTCTTCATTCGTGACCATCTGCCAACGTCCCTTTCATTGAAATGTTCTGCCTAGGCTCACTGAACGTCGCCACCACCCAACACAGCCACCTAGTAAGGTTTGTCACGTCAACAAAACGTCCCAAATTAGTTACTAATTGAGCAGTCACCGGTTGTATGTTGGGAGAGTAAACTCACCACAACATGTACATTTCGAGTACCGTGACGTCTCGACGGTAATTACAACAACAACAACCAGCATCAACAACAACAACCAACATCATCAGGCGATGGCCACAGAGTCGCGGACAAATCCTCCTCCTGTTTCGGTCTTCAATGGAGCGGTAACATGTGATATCATCACCTGTGAGCCAATCAGGTGCGAGGACCAGAGGCATGGGGGGTGTTAATGTGTTCAAATACCTTACAATGGGCATCTGTTATTGGGTTTGGTTATTTACACGGTTATTAGATAAAGCGCAGCACTGCAATTTCTTTGTCACACCACTGCTGAGCGGACGGGCCTCCACCAGAGGGAGCTCTCTATAGAGCTGCTATAGAGGGCATTTGGCCTACTCTTCCACGCGGGCCAGACGTATTAAACGTAGGTGAGATTACCCACACTTTACCCCCACCACATGTAACCCGGTCGATTGACTGACTGCGGTGTGCCCATGGTTTACCCCTTGGGTGGATGGAGGCCCCAGAGGATTCAAGAAACTCGCTTCAACTAAGATCGAATTGGCGACCTCTGGGTCAGTCGCAAATCCGGTGCGGTAACCGAATCGACCGCGGCAGCTTTCCACGCAGTTGGTGTCGGTACGATTACGTAACCAGGCATCAAACGTGCGTGAATTAAAAGGCTTTTGTTATCCTCAAGCGTCTGCTCCTTTGTAAGCGGAGCCACTCTACGTTTTTTGGCTTCGACATAGTTGCAACAGTGATGTGTAATAGGAAGTGTCGAGCGCGTGGCTTTGGATGTCAGTGCTGAGCTGGCTCCATCTGAGATCTGGAGTTCACATACAGGCTGGTGGCATGTACTTGAGGTTAAACCAGGTTCTCAAGGGCATGACGTTTATCGTCTCAGTCTATCTGCACACAAAAAAAAGAATCGCATTAACTTGAATTCTTCAATTAATTTGGCTAAACTCCAGCTCGCAGATTAAATGTCAGCGTTACTGTCACGTAGCGAGCATCACACGGTCCTCTTGAGTGACAGCACAGGAGGGATAGAGCTGCCCCTTACTGAGTGAAACAGGTCACTTTCAGGGATCTCATAGGTGGCTCTGTGACATATGCTTCCACGAGCCATTCTTTAAACCGCAACATATACGAACGGGCACTTCCTATCGTGAAAATATACCGACGACAACTTTAAAAAAGCGGTGATTAGCATTGTAATCTCTCCATGATATGGTACTTTAAGAAGACATGAGCGGTAGCTGGCTGTGCATTCCATGTTACTAACACCACAACCCTCAAATCTATGTTTGTTGAACTTCGTTTGCACCGTACGTAGCCAACCGTGGAAATTGGAGGGGTGCGGTGGAAGGCCAACAAACCTGAACACAAAAAGACGTTCTAGATAAATGAGTTTTCAATATAGATGTCAATGAACATATGCAATTAATGCTTTCAACCGGAGGTTAGAAAGTGTTGAAAATGTCATTCCGACGGCAAAAAATGTCAGTACACGTACAGAAATTGGCATGCGTTTTATTATCACGGATTATATTTTGTATAAGAGTAGAAATGATCAGCAAATAGCTAAAGCCACAAACCCCAAGCAATCAAAAGGAGATGAATCGTCTAAAAATGAAGCATCGTTAATTAGTTGTTCGCTTATGAAGCCGCCTATTAATATCACATGGCACAAATAAAAGCGCGTTGTTCATATATCCCTCGAATTGAGAGATTCAGACATTCAACGTTGGGGTCCAACGTCGGTTGATGTTGGCCTAACGTGGAATGTCCACAGTTATACTCCTGGGTAGATTGTGGACTTGCATTAGGCAAAGGGTGAACATAAAAAAAATGGTTTCCCATTTCAACACAGCTCTCTCATTGACATGCTAATTTCTCTACGCCAGCGGACCCACCTCTCTCCCCCCCCCCCGTCTCTCTATTTAAGGCCTCAAAAACTTGCGTTGGGTCTCTGTGTGGCTATGTTGTTGTCTCTCTAAGTTCACGAGGTTTATTTTCTACCTGATGACGATTGCTTGTGTTGCAATCGAAACGGTGTGTTCTATTATTAAATGTATTTTCTTTCTACGTGACTTTACCGAAAGAACCAAAGAGTAATTCCTGCAGTCACGAAAGCTTCAAATCAAGTTTGGTTTCACATATTTCCTCATCTAGCTCAGTGAGAGACATTTAACAGGGAGCATGCAAGACACCGTGGGGTTTTCCCAAGACCATACCTGTCAACCCACACGGTTACCCCGTGTTCTTGTACAGGGAAATTGAGTTTACAGGTCCATACGGCGTACAGCCGTTTCAATACGGGAAACCAAAACTTTGTCTATTTGTTTTTCTCCCTTGTTATGGGACTTTGTAGGATGAACGTTGAAATGTATAAGGAGCACGGGGTGACCAATAAGGTAGGCGCTGATAAAGGGTCGACAGGTATGGCATTACGCAGTTCGGCAGAATACGGTACAGGTGTAGCTAAAGGGGGTTTAAAATCTACCACGTGGGTTGTTGGGCTGATTAAAAGCAAGTGCGGATGAGGATTCAACATTTAATGGGACGCATCTCCCTCTTCTAACAGAAAGCGGTAACTGTTTTTTTTTTATCTATCTTTGAACTACATTCTTTTAAAATCAAGTTTTTTCTGTTTTCAAAGCAAAAAGAAACGTGGATTTTCAATGCCATTGGAAGCGAGGAAGCACGTGACCATTGACAGAAACGGTGCTGGATTTCGATTGGCTAACTAACCACGAGGTCAATTTCCAAGGCTTGTAAGGCTTATATACCTGGAGAGGAGTATTTAGACTTTTTGGAGGCAGAATAGCACCTCCTCAATCTAACCACAGGAGGACGTCTGCTGCCTCTCTTTCTAGGCAAGTCGCTCTTCACTGCAAGGCCCACGCGGGGCCAACCGGTGGCCCCTGGTGACCTTTAGTCTGCGGCTCCTGACGTGCGGCCCCCACCACAGTACAAGAATGTGAAAACACCCCCCCACCCCCATCATCATGATCGTGCTGCTGTCAAACCCACCAATGGTTTCAAATGTGTGGCGGCACCCTCACACTGACGATGTCTTATCAGCGAGAGTGACACCCCCCCCCCCCCCCCCCATTGCTGAAAATTCGTGACGAGCACTGACCTTAAGGGATTCACAGGTACTGGGCTAAGGCCAGGAATAAGTTGACCAATGCTGTACGGGGCATACTATTTAGGCATTAAAATATGTAGACATGGAAAATTAATTGAAGAAATATAGCAGCATGTATAATGGAACGAATATATCAGTTGGACTGTAACGTGAGATAAAGTGTTACTTGAGATATTAGGGTATTGTAGGAATATGCAAGGATCTCTGCTCTTTAGTACAACATGTGAATATAGAGTACTACATGTGAATATATAGTAAAACAAGTGAATGTAGAGTAACTGTAGGATTAATTTGTTTTTGTTTATAATAGCGCACTCCTTTAACATCACATCTCCTCTCAACACATTCGACAGGGCAGCACCAGTAGCAGCTGGCCCTGTTGGCACAAGGTGACTCGGAACCTGGCCTGCAAACGGGCATTAGTCTGCCAGTTTGGGGCCGATTGCTTACGTTTAATCCCAATGGAATAAGTTGCAGATTAGTTTCATGATTAGAAAATGTGGATCTTAAAACTAGCACCCAATGGCCGAGTCTTGTGAATGACGATGTAAGGGGGTCTGTAACGTCCACTCCGAAGCTGATGGCGCATATGATGATTATAATTATTATCTCACGCTCAGTATTAATCAGGGGTGGCTGCTGCATTCGAACCGTGGACATCTGCATGAGATGGAGAGCGTGCTACCACTGGGCCATATCACCGCCCCGAATGACAACGGGAGAGAGAGAGCATTGACATAACCTTGTCATCGCAGCTGGATCGTGTGAACAACATTTCATTACCTGGGCACTGGGCCCAGGTAGTGAAATGGGGCACCCTGTCCAGTTCCTCCCCTCTTCGTGACCTGCCGCCTGAGCGACCCTCTCCTATGTGGGCCCGGGTGCAGTCGCACTGCCTGCAGAATCGATGGCTACACCACTGACCCCACCACCCCCTTGTGGACAAATGTGGGATTTGTTTTTATTTGTGTGGGAGATTTGAAGCCGCTGAAAGTAGTGCTCTTCAAGTGAACCTTATGGCGGAACCCCGGGGTACCATAGTACCCCGGCTGTCGCACAATGTCCGTGATGCAGTCACGTTTAGTCTGTCGATGGTCGGCGATGCGGCGATCGACTCATCTCGACGAGCTGTACACGATGCACAAATTGAAAGTTGAATTTCGCAATAACGGATTTTGTATGCTAATGTTTGGCGTTTCGACATCGCGGAGTAGCACTGATTTCGGATTGATTGGTGCCCCAGTCGCGGAGTGAAGTACACCCCTGTAAAAAAATAGTCCCAGAAACTAAATATTTAATTGCCTCGGCCATTTTGTATTATTTGGTACCCCGGGGTACTGTCATAAGGATCAAATAAAGATAGTGCCAGGTCAGTTGTTGGGAACTTATAAACAGACTTGTGAACGAAGGACAATTCTGTAAAACACAAAAAGTGAAAAGTGAACAAGAAGTGAGAAGGCCAGACTCGGCAATAAGGACTGTGGGGTCTGGGTTGGGGTGGATACAAATTGTCAGAAGAGAGCACAATCTACTCATCCTGACCATAACTGGATGACCAATCCGGAGTATAAGGGATGGGGTATACGTTGTTTATGGATGATCGAATAGGACTTCAAATCATCTCTGGCAGACCACACATTAACACAAACCTTAGCATTATCCAATAATGACTGAAAAATGAATGTGCGTGTCGATAGAGCAAAATTAGGCCCTTACATTGACGGAAGTAACTGAGCACTCTAAATATACGAAACATATCTGTGAAAAGAAAATATTTCATTCTCATACGCCGATTAGTGCAGCAAAGATGCTGTCAGGAATGGATAAAAATCGTTGGGTCATGCGATTGTGGGCCGTATGAAATGAAATCGTAAGTATCTTTCGGCCCGCCAGTCAGGGAGGTCCCCTGCTGATACCCTAGCACTAACCTTATGTCTGTCAATTTTTTGTAAATAAATTCACTTTAGTTGCTCACGGGGCGCTTTCCAGGTGGCAGATTAACGGTAGTAGATGAGGATGGCGGATTCCAGCAGCTTCTTTGTTGCGCTCCATTCCACACCTGTCCCGTAGCCACTCCAGTCGAAGGCACTAAAGTCACTGCACTGCCTTGGAGATGCCTCAGGCACGTAGCCGCCACCGCCTACACAGAACTGCACACACAGATATTGCCATTTACTTGAGTGGGCATGTGCTCGGGCATCACATGGGCTGGAGAGGAGAAAGGCTGATGTGGATCAGGATGTGGAGCTGACTGGACTTGCTGATGATTGGCACCGGCGGAATCAAGACCGGCCTCTGTGTGTGGAGGAGGCCCATGAGGGATGCTACTGGGCAGTTGGAAACAAGTCGCTCTCCAACAACAATAAAGGCGTGATGCGAAAGAGAAACGAGCAAAGCATCGGTGGGGAGCACAGGTGGTAAATATTATCAGTCGTCTATCTCGGTCAATTAGCCCATAATATCTGTGTCCGTTGTTTTTCTCGCACTTTCTGTTTATAGGCGGCGTTGTGTGGACACTATGGAAGGGTTTAACCAGAGATCAATCGATTTTGGGGCGTTTGGGTCGTTTCGAGTTTGGTAATCGGTTAGCATGGAGCAATAACCTGAACGGTGTTGAGCCAGTTTTGTGCGAATTGCCCGGGTCAGGGATTTTTCGTCATCTGCTATGGGTGGGGGGCAACCCCCTAGCACAACATTGGGCTTGTAGGTGTTCAGGCAGTGCATGGTAGCAGCGGTGTGCAAGTGGTTAAAAATTGATTTGGTGGTGCTATTTGGTGGAAGAGCATTTAAAGTAGATTGTACGTTGGTAGAGCTGAAGGAAAGCAAGGTGGATTTCATTTTCCTAGCAGGTGCAGGGGCTTTCAGTAGCTTTGTGCAAGGATGCGTTGTCAAGTGGCATGAAGCCAGATATTGATCGATGAGAAGCTTGCAGTGTTCTTGAATCAGAAGAACTTTGTTTCTTGGTGGGAATGGTCAATGGGCGCCATGAGGTGGCATCCTGTGGCTAGGCATAGTGCCTGGTATGGGGAGGTTTGGAGCTTTGGTAACCTATAGGGAGAGGTTTGGGCACCAAATGGGACTGGCATAATTGATGATGGGACGTCCAATGACTTTGTAGGTTAGGAGTAAGTCTCCTTTTGTTGACCCCAAGATATGCCGGCTAAAGCTCGTAAGATGTTATTTCATTTGTTAACTTTTGCATAGACGTTTCTGGCGTGTTGAGCGAAGCTGAACATGGTGTCAAAGGTTACACCTAGAATTTTGGGGGTTTTTGCTAGTGGGAGGCGTTTGTTGTTTATTATGACGTTGGGATGTAAGTTGTCTTGATAAGGATCAGGTGTGAAATGGGTGACTGTTGATTTGTATGTTGAGAGTTGAAGCGATCTATTGGCTAGGAAAGTACTGAGCCGTTTTAGATAGGAGTTGATAGAGTTTTCCATTTTGGGTATATTTTGATTAGAAGTGTAAACTGTGATGTCGTCGGCATAGCCGACTACTTGTACTCCTTTTGGAGGAGTTGGTAGATCGTGGAGGTAGGTGTTGAACAGCGCTGGGGATATTATGGAACCTTGTAGTACTCCTGCATGAATCTTTCGTGAGGAGGATTGAATATCACGAGAGTGCATCATTGGCAGGCCCCTTAGGTAATTTGTAAGCCAGCAAACAAAGCCTAATGGTAGCGTAGAACCCTGGATGATGTTGATGAGCGCAAGGTGGTTAACGGTATCGAAAGCCTTTGTAAGGTCAAGGGAAGTGACGATAGTGTGGGATGGTGTTCTTTTTCTCATTTAAAACGTTTGCAATTTGGGTGGTTGGGTTGAGAAGAGCTGTTGTTGTTGAGTGTGCAGGGCGAAATCCATATTAGTGAGATGGAGGTAAGTTGGTGGTGATGATTGGAAGGATGAGGGCCTCTAAAATCTTGATTGATGGCCAATGTAGGGAAATTCGGCCTGTAGGGACGTTACTTGATTTAGCTCTTTGCCGGGTTTTGGAAGTGGGATGATTGTCGATGATTTCCAGATGGCCAGAATGAGGTTGCACTGTAGTGAAGCGTGAATGGTGGAGGCGAGAAACGTTATGCCAAGGGGGCCGAGGTATTTCTTTTTGCTGTTTTAATATCTAAACACGTGCTTTATTTGCCAGAAAGGGTAAAACCTATTCTTATTTTTCATACTTTGATGCCGGCAAAAAGGTCACATGATCTAGTGTTTACTGTATTTGTATGCACTCGTCTGTGCTGCCATCGGTGTAGCAGCGTGCTCGATAGCAAGTATTGAAGTACTCACGTGTTCAGTGTTACAGTTGGAGACGACCTTCAACCCAGAGCAGATGGCAAATGGGGCTCTCTCCACTGTTAAACACTCTGAATTGCACAAACCCTGTTGTCGTTCCGCCTGTGGAACATGGTCTCATTTATTGAATGCATTTATGACGGTCAACTTCAGTTGTCATTAACATTGAAGCAACTGGCATTTCTGGAAGGCTCAAATGGGCCACACGGTGAGCTGGGTACGACTTTATTGTCAGCGCCGCTCACTTTTACACAGCTTTAGGATAGTGATTTTTTTTTAAACCTCGCTTTGTTCAAAAGTGGGGTGACTGCAGCCATCGTAAAGAAAACTGTTGGGCACCGTGCCAGTCTCATGAGACTTGTTGAAGAGGCCAACAAAGAAAGGCCCTCAATGCAGAAAAGGTTTTTCTGCAATCGTCCGCAATGGGTGGGGGGGTCCAATTGGGCAACAGGTAGATCGGGGAATCACAGCGATCAGAGAGGTCAGTTGCAAAGTTGCGATTCGCGGGGAACTTCACCAACAAAGTGCCCTCGCTTTGTCTGTTGCATTAGGAATTGCGGGTGCCGTAAAACAACCTTTATTTTAATTTTACTTGCAAACTACAACCTATTTCCTAATTCGGCACCTAACTAGTGTAGTCAAATATGATTACACTCAGGATATGTTTTGTTTACAATTAAACTCTTTAATGATAAACAAATAAAACCGCGAACAGCCACTGACCACAGCCGTAGCTCCACCCTCATTTTGACCCGAAGGGCATCGAAAATCCACCTTTCTTTTTGCTTTGAAGACGGACAAAACTTAATTTTTAAAATGTAGTTCAAAGATTAAAAAAACAGTTACCACTTTCTGTCAGAAGAGGGAGATGTGTCCCCTTAAATGTTGAATCCTCATCCGCACTTGCTTTCAATCAGCCCAACAACCCATATGGCATATGTAAAACCCCCTTTGGCTACACCTGTACCGTATTCTGCCGAACTACGTAATGCCATACCTGTCAACCCCTTATCAGCGCCTACCTCATTACAGACCAGTTCAGACCTTATTGGTCACCCCGTGCCCCTATAAATCTCAACGTTCATCCTACAAAGCCCCATCACAAGAGAGAAACACAAATAGACAAAAAAAAGTGCCTGTATTGAAACGGCTGTACGCCGTATGGGCCTAAGAACTCAATTCCCTGTACGACTTGCTCCAACACAATGGTGTGTTGTACTAGTATCGAATTGGCATGTTCTGTTTAACTATGACAATCTGTTAATCATACCGCATCGCAGATAAAGTACGTAGTATAAGTGTAGGACTCATACCGACGCGACAGCGTCTTTATTAACATATATAGTTCCACATCCCTTCCGTCGACATCACTCAATGTCACTCCGCTCGCTTCGCTCGCTCTCCTTTGCTCCTCCAGCGATTCTCCTCTCTGCTCTCTCTCGCGCTCCAGCTCGGCTGCTCTTTGTTAACTTTGTCGTCCCACTCCGTCGTAACTCTCCACCAAGGTCCGTTACTCCGCTGCTACCCTACGCTGTACTCGCTCCATCCACTGCCACTCTATACTGTATCCTCTCTATCCACTGCTACCTTACACTGTACTCTCTCTATCCACTGCCACCCTATGCTATACTCACTCTATCCGCTGCTCCGTCTCTCCATCCGTTCCTCTCTCGTCCCAGGCACCAACCACTCCCGTTTCACTCTACCATCTCACCCTTTATCCCCGAACCAATTACCCTTCATTAATTAGGTCATCCCCCCGCGACGCCACTCGCCCCCAGCCCCCGTGCCACGTGGCGTTGTGGTTCCAGACACGCCGACGCCAATAGACACCAATACCTCTCGTCCAATCACCGGCCTGCGTCCTCAATTACCCCCGGCCACCTGCAGCCCCCTTAACTATCACGCCACCTTAATTGGTACGACAACAACGGCTAGCCAATCAGCGCCCTGTGTCCTCGTTCGCCCTCACTGTCCGCCACGTGCGCGTATATCGACCCAGCGCGTGACGCTTGTTTCAAGCCCTACATAAGCAATACTTACCCCCACAGTTAGGACAGTTGTAAGAATTGATGACTGCGTCACTTCCATAGTCATAAACAATGGGGTAGGCAGGCCCGTTATTGGTGGGACAGCTTCCGGAATTGTACGTTAACGGGAAAAAATTCTGCCAACAAAAGGAGAACCATCAATTAATATTTACTTGAAAACAACAGAACAGTGTTGCGCCACTTACAATGTGTTTTTTCATGTGTGTTGATGTGTCTGCTCCCACTAAGATCACCCATATCATGTATGCGTTTTCCTTTCCGTCAAATCACTGCTAGATTAAGGTCTACCCACACAATGTGGGTCATAGGGGTTACTTGGCCATACATCAGCACATTGGTCAAGTGCAGATTGGTGGAGGTAGGGAGCATATATATGGAGGCATAGACATACATAGGAACATATATTGCCCCACTGTCCATTGCTATTCACTAAAGTCCTGAAGGCGTGATAACAACCTGTTCCTACTGGTTAATGGGCATTAATTTCCACCAGAGCTATCTGGGGCTGAGCTCCAGAAAATATATCCATTAAATTAAGCCTTGCTGGTCAATTATTCAATCACTATGCAGGCACAACCCTGATTAGCTTCTGAGATCTGACAAGTTCGGTGCCTTCAAGGTGGTTTGGTCAAAGGCATATCACATCGCACTACAATTTTTATATAAAGTTTTCAACCTCATGAATCACAATAAGTCAGACAAAGGACTCTACCTTGAAAAAGGAGTAAAGGCTTCCTCCAAAGGCAGCCAGAAACTTCGACTCCGTGTGGTAGCGGAAGAGTGATGATGTCTTCCACGCAGGCAGAGGAGTCCCATTGGGAACATGCCACACTGCTATGTCATTTGCCTCCAGATCGTAATATCCCGGGTTCTGAATAAATTAAACACACAGGCAGCAGAGCTATGATGAACCACTTAACTGAGTGCAACGAGGGGGCAAACACGATCATTTATTAATTGACATGTGTTGCTTGTTTCAGTTCCTTCACATAGAATAAAAAAACATTGACACATATTTCTTATCTATATTAGCAGACTTTACACAATTGTTTGTATTTTTTTCTCCCAAGTATCATTTGGGTTTGGGAGATCCAGAGCACGACACGTTGGACATTTGCGAACTATATATATACATACTGTATATGTATGTTGAATTTCTTTCTCACCGTACATCGCTAACTGTGCTAATCGGAGGTCTTCTTCTTCGGAAGTGGGGGAGAAGGGATAGGGTCGGAGGGTGACATGATGGTCAGGGTGAAGAGACAGTGATTAGGAGAGCAGAGATCAGTGGTGATGAGGGAAGCAGTGCAATAGAAGAACTCCAAAGTGTTGTCAGATATATGTGTAGAGTATTAGTGCTGACTGCTGACTGAAAGTGGTAACTGGTAACTACAGTGTACGACAGTACACATATCAACAGGTGACAGCATACACGGGGGGAAGACAACTAAGGCAGAGTTCATGGAGGGGTCCATCTGGAAGCCCTGGGAACCTGCCAGTAGGTTCCAGAAGGGGGGCGTGGCCAGGGCGGAGCAAGGCCACTCCGGGAGGATAAAAGAGGGGGCCCTCAGCGAGAGCTCGGGGCTGTTTCTGGAAGCAGATTCCCTCACCACCGTCGTCGCCACCGTCTTCACCATCACTGGACACCGCTAGCTAGACAGCCTGCCAACTGTTCTAGCTAGAGAGTGCTGCCGACGATAGACGGTTCTGTGTGACATATATATAGTGTACACCCAGGTATGTGTCGTCACCATTGTGGGTGGAATAAAGAAGGTGCCTCCAATAACTACTGTCTCTGAACTGCATCACTACATATGGAGGGGTGGGGGTGGAAGAAGGCATAGATTAAAGGAGCCTCTTAGAGAGAGGAAAACTGTGTAGATTTAGGGCAAATTGAGGTGGAGCTGGAAGGTATCTGGGAGAATGAGGGGGTGGGAGGAAGAGGGTAAATAGAGGCAAAAAGGCAGTCGATATGGTCGAAGAAGGATGCAGGGAGACCTGGTGGGCAATACATTTTAAGGAATGAGATGGAATGAGGACCGGAAAAAGAAGAGGGTTGCAACTCGAAAGAGCAAATGAAAGAGAGGAGGGGAATGAGACCAGAGATAGGAAATGAAAAGACCAACACTACCACCTTTCTTCCCAGCAGTCTGGGGAGAGTGAATAAATAAAGAGCATAAAGAGGAGAGAGCAGCAGGGGTTGCAGTGTTGATGGTAGCAAGTTTTAGTGAAACCAGGGCGTCAAGGTGTGGGGAGAAGAAGGCATCCAGAGTGGCAGCAGTTGTGTTACAAACAGAGCGTGAATTCTAGAGACCACGTTTCAAGTGGGGGAGACGGGGGGAGGGGAGCAGGGAGGGGCAGAGAAGAGATTGGTGGGGGGGTATGGGGAAAACATTGATGAGATTGTAGGGAATGGATTGATGGCGATGGGAGGCAGAGGAATAAAAGGGATGACACGATGGATGGGAGTGAGTGAAGATAAGAATGGGAGCGGGGGTGGGAGTGAGAGAGGTAGGGTCAGGGGACTACTATGTGTAGTTTGCAGTGAAGGTACCCAGGTAGGGGGGAGGAGCATGGCGTGTGGCCTCTGCCGCCACGGCAGCCCTGACAACGGTGCCTCCGACGTTGGCCATTTAAGAGACCAAGTTTGCGACGCACCGAGCCAATAACTCATTGTGGGCCCCAGATGAGTGGGTGAGAATGCATTGTAGATTAGAGAATTCACAATCTCTTATACCTATCTTCTTGAAAACAAGGAAATCAAGAGGCGTTGCCAAAATCGCAGAAAATAATTTGCCCCACCACGTGAGTGTATTTGTGTCTGCGTGAGAGTCTCTGTATTTATATGCAAGTCTCTGTGTGCGTCTCCCTGTGTCTGCGTCTCCGTGTCTGTGTGTGAGTACCTGGTGCAGTGTGTGAACATAGCCAGTTGGGACACAAATGCGGCCGGAAGTGGTGCTGGTCACCCAACCCTCTGGTGTGCCGTGCCGGCATTCATAGGTCCTCACTAACAACTGTTTCCCCAAAAGTATGTTAAGGATGGATGTGGGTCTTTGTGGGAATGTATACTCCTACGTCAGCAGTCCTCCTGCTGTGTTTGTTTCACACCTGATGACGGTTGCTTGTGTTGCGATCGAAACGTCGTGATCTATTATTTTTTTCTACCTACGTGACTTTACCGAAAGAACGAAAGAGTATGGATTCCTGCAGTCCCGAAAGCTTTAAATCAAGATTTAATGTATTCGTTACTGTGTGTGTCTGTACGTGTTTCTGTTTCTGTGTCTCTGTGTCGGTGTGTCTCAGTAGCTGTCTCCATGTCTGTGCGTATTCATGTTTGTGTCGTCTCTGTGTCTGCGTGCAAGCTGCACTTTAATACTATCACAAAGTGAGCTGCACTCTTAACACCTTCATACAAAGGTAGGCACCTCCGATGCACACCGTTGTTGTTGTTTACATGACTGACAGAATGTGTTGAATCATCCTTTCTTGGTACGAATTTGTACTTATGCCTGCTCTGACTTAGAAATCACCAGCCATCAGTTTTTTCACGCACTATTCCACTAGGTATGGGTCACAGAAAACGACCTGGCTGCCTCAGGTAGGTTGTGAGTTGGACATTTTATAACCCCTGCTCTCGTGTGTGGGTCCAAGTGGTGGAGGTGCAATTGCATTGCAGGCAAACCTTGTAGTCGTCATCAGTGGCCGACTCGGGGACACCAAATGTGTTGAGGTTGGCCCAGTTTTTATCTCCATCTACGAATGGAACTGCAGGATTGCTGCCCTGCTGGCTGGTCCAGCGGTCTCCCGTGGTACACTTGGCCGCGATGTTGTTCTCGTGAACGCTGGCGACCAGGGTCCAGCCTCCTCCGTTGGTGTTCATGTCGCAGAACGCCTGGTAGGACTGCCCGCTCTTCGTCTGCAGCAAGTATAGCCCATCTTTCGTGAGCAAAGGGAAAAGATTCAACAAATTGGTTATGTGTGGAATTGGAACAAATGTGGGTTTCCCAGTGCACTGTCTTTCTATTAACAGACCACTTGTGATACCCAATCCAATTATCAAACCAATTATGTAGGTAAATGTGTATTTTGGTACAGTGTGTAGTGCTATGAGGTTGAGAGAGGGGCCTACTGCAGGTGGCATGGGCCAATCAGTTGCTCGGAATTGGTGGCTGGGTCACTGGGTGAAAAGGGGGTGCATCACGTGGTAGAAATCGAGGGCATGGTTTTATGGCATCACAGCCATGAACAGACCCTGCCAACATCCCATATGAGGGGGTCGGGAAGCCAAGGGAGGGCTGAGGCGGTAGGGGACGAGCGGCAGGAAGTGGGGGGACGTGACAGTTGGTGGTGAGGCTCGACCAGGGCTCGGCAACCATTCAAGGTATAAGAGGAGCAATTTTTTTTTGTCTTTGACCAAAACAGGTTTGAGAGCCGCATCGCACGCAGAGCGACGTTTACACAACCACAACAGGTAGACAGCAAATAACAAATTATAACTATAAATAAGCTATGAATACAATTTTTGTTTTTACCAGGTAAGGCCCACTGAGCTCTACGAGCAGTCCTCGACTAGCGAATGCCCGACTTACGAACACCCGTACTTACTAACCAGCTTCCATGAAGTAAAAAAAAACATTTCCTTGACATGCAAACTCGCAATTGCAAACTATTTTGTTCAGAGAAGCGAGATGCGGGGAGATGGGGGCAGCCAAAGAGCCGCAGGTTGCCGACCCCTGGGCTTAAAGGTCGGAGTCGGATTTCCGATATCGGTGTGTCAGCTTAGTTAGGGGGTAGATCTCCATTGAAGCAGAAGGCAGCATTGTGTGAAGCATCTAGCCTCACCTCTCTCTGTTTTTGTCTTCTCTTTGATTTCAAGGCATGAGTGTGGCAGCTCCTCGGACCATTTATTTTGTGAAATCTCACTGCAATCCTCTGCTGAGAAGCACACTGCTGTCCTCACAACACCGGCACCTGGAAGCACAAGGCATCAGCATCACCCAGATTCAAACCCCACAAGCAAAGCACAGCATGCTTCTGTTGGTGATCCCAAGTCGGTGGTAGACATATCACATTTCATTGGTGGCACACAGTAACCGCATGTAACAATTACTGTTTATATCTGATTATTCTTAACGGTTGAACAAACTGAACTTCATTCAACTTTGTTGTCCTTCCCCCACACCTCTCATTAGCTCAGTTGCCTATGTATGGTGCGAAATAAGTTGAACATACATATACATGTTACTGCATAAGAGGGTAAAACTAAATATACAAACATGCAAAATATGTACTTGCGCACTGTATCGATTGCATCAATTGCATGAACTTCAATAAAAAGGAACTCACATAAAAGTGCCGTAGAAATGCTCACAAATGGCGACAATTTGAACAGCCCCATGGATAAGCAGAGAAACCACTCAACTCTCTATAACTCTACAGCGATCAGAAGCCTGTAAATACAATACATACAAACCGCTGCAGGTAACAAAACCCCCAACGCAACTTTGCGAAGATATACTGTGAGCACTAGAGTGAGAACAAAATTGGTGATTAGTTTAAGACACCAGCCTTGCAGACTGCAGCAGGAGTTGTCAGCTCTGTGAGCGTTGGGCAGACACTTATAGTTTAATGCCTGCTTACAGCAACCAATCAGGAAAGTTTATTGTGGTAGGAAATAGGTGATATGCAAATATGTTCAGGGACAGGGAAGTTAAATACCCCATAGTACTCATAACAATGTCCTCATTTACAAAGAATGGATTAATGAACAAATCCACCATTCACAATTGCGTGCCCCTCCCCCCTAGCTATAGGAACATAAATGTGGTGAACTTAGGACCTCGCACAAATGCTCAGAAACGGAGACAGTTTTAACAGTCCCACGGTTAAGCAGCGAAAGCACGCAACTCTCTATAACTCGACAGCGACAAGAGGAGCCAGTGAATACAAACCACTGTTCGGAACAAATCTCCTAACACAACTTGCAAATAGTTGCTGTGTGTGAGCACTAGAGTGAGAACAGAATTGGTTATTAGTTTAAGCCTTGCAGACTACAGCAGGAGTTGTCAATTCTGTGAGCGCTTGGCAGAGATTAATACAGTTTATAACCTACTTATAGCAACGAATCAGGAAAGTGTATTGTGTGACAGGAAATAGGAGATGTGGAAATATGTTCAGGGACAGGGAAGTTAAATACCCCATACTACTCTTAACAATGTCCTCATCTACAAAGAATAACGAGAGGCATATAAAAACACACAAATCTGACATCTATATTATGCAAATTCACAATTCACAATAGCTAACGCATACTATGCGTATCCCCTTCCTAGCTACAGGGTTATAAATGTAGTGAACTTTCATTAAAAAAGGACCCCACAAAAATGCTCAGAAAAGGCGACAATTAAAGATCTGCCATGGATAAGCAGTAAAACCACGCAACTCTCTATAACTCTAAACTACCCATAGAATCTCATAAATTCAAACCACTGCTGGGAACACAACTCCCAACATAACTTGCGAACCCCCCGAAGGACCATAACCTTATTGTGGTGGTGGGGTTCGCGTATTCCAATCACCCTCGGCTATGTCCACCTGGAGTCTTGTACTCCTGGTAGGGTCTCTCTTCGCGAACAGGTCTGGGTGAAGGTTCCAGACAAATAACGGTCCAAACAAAAGCCCCTTATAAATGTGTAGTGTAATAGCGCCGGCTGGTGGACAGTGAAGGAGAATAGCTGCCCTTAGTGAAGCAGTTGCAGTACCTCGGGGTCACTTTCACGAGTGATGGTAAGTGGGAGCAGGAGATAGGGCGGCGGGTCGGTGCGGAATCCTCAGTCATGCGGGCGCTGTACCATTCCATGGTAGTGAATCTACATTCCCACCCTCATTATGGTCATGAGCTTTGGGTAATGACCGAAGCATGAAATTGCGGGTACAAGGAGACAAAATGAGATTTATCCGCAGGGTTGCCGGGCTCACTTACCGTGATCAATTTAGGAGCTCGGTAATCTGAGAGAGCCTCAGAGTCATATTTCCCCAGTTGCTGAGGTGGGGGTACAAGGTATTGTAGCTATTGTGAATGGTGAATTTGCATAACGGGTATGAAGCCACGTGACTTTTTAATTTTCATTTCCTCATTCTCTGTAGATAAGGACATTGTTCTGAGTAGTTTGGGAAATTTCGATTTAAAGCTTTTGTGACTGCAGGGATTCATCTTCTTGGTTCTTTCGGTAAAGTGACTGCAGGGATTTATCTTTGGTTCTTTCGGTAAAGTCACGTAGAAGGGAAGTAATAAAATAATAAAAATAAAACATAATAAAATAATTCTCACGACGTTTCGGCCACTTCCCTTCTACGTGACTTTACCGAAAGAACCAAGAAGATAGTTTGGGAAATTTAACTTGTCCTGGTTTGTTGCGATCATCGTCATGATCCATGGGCAGATAGGTGTCCACTGCACGATTTTGTCATATGTTTCCACTTTCCTTTGTCGTATGCCAAGTACAGTCATACCTCGGTATACGACCGCTTTGGAATAAGTCGAATTTGGTATGTCATGTTTTGACGCGAAAATGTCTTGGGATACGACGTCTTGCTTGGGATACGACACGCTTGCTAGAACTTGTATGGGTCGGGATGAGTCACCGCGTACAGTGCCCGCGTACACAATACTGTTAAGGCTCTAGCAGGCCGTAACAGATTATTTCCTTTCCCTTTATTTCTTATGGGAATAATTCGTTTGGTATACGTCATTTTCGGTATAAGTCCTATCTTCTGGAACGAATTAACGACGTATACCGAGGTACCACTGTAGTACACATCTTTCTGGCACCAATCTCTTGTCATCAAACCATTCTGTGTTAGATCTTACTCTCTTTTCGATCTTTCTGGTTCCTTCCATTTTTCTGAACAACACTTTTAATTAATGTGTAAAGACCGAAACACAACAGACGACTTACCGGACATGTATAACTTTTTATTTTGATACTGGCAAGAAAGGTCGCGTGATGCAGCTGCTCACCCCGAGATATAAATGCCCTGATAGTGCATTGTCTGTGTGCTGTTCGCCTTTTTTGCATTCTCTGGTCTAGCACTGTTTGAGACTAGGCCATAAGGAGACTGTCTCTGGTGTGGACCAATCAGTTTCAAAGACAATGCATATATTACCAGAGCATGTTTTTGTTTGCAAGTTCACCACGTGTGGTTAATGCAGACTTGATTCCTTGAAAAGGTTTCTGTTTGGTGTTTTAACATTTTAACACCTTTTTTTCCAGAAATGATAAAACCTATTCTTATAAGCTAGGAAACTGCTTTGTGGCAATATTTTTACGTGTTTTGAAACATAGTAAGTCTTGATTTGAAGCTTTCGTGACTGCAGGAATCCATATTCTTTGGTTCTTTCGGTAAAATTACGTAGGTAGAATTCAAATAAAACAAATCACGACGTTTCGATCGCAACACAAGCAATCTTCATTAGGTGGAACAACCATAGCAAGAAAATGTAATAATCATTGACTCTTTGAATGCTAATGTTTTAAGTACAGCATTTCTCAGGATCAGAAACGTTGCCATGTAATCCTTTATAATTATTTAACGATTAGTTACATATATATTTATAATTCATTACATTTCTTCGAACCCTAAAAAAAACAAGTGGAATACGTTGAGAGAATTTACAATAGTGAGATAAACAAAATTAACTGTGGAGTGGGAATCGAGAGAAGGCAAATGATGATGAAGACGCGGGGTGCGGAAGATGGCGAGATTAAATCAGATAAATCGGAGACTACCTACTCAGGAAAACCACCTATTGTAACCTTAAACTGTAGTGCAACAGTGTAAAGTTACGGGTCTAAATGTGAGTGGAAATTCGCATCCAATACGTTACCACCTCACTCGGCACGAACGACATCCGGCTGTAAAGTATTATATCTGAAATAAAAACGTGTTAATATGTAAAATGTATTCCACTGTTTGTGGCAAACATGAAAGTCTGGATAACATTGTGCATACATTATTGCAGTAATATTTTACAGTTCAATTAGTTTAAAACGCATCTTGAAGCTTAGAAGCAACCAAAAAATATATATATTTAAAGAAATTTTTTTTTGCTAGAACCATTAAAAATATGAACGAATTTCGCAATTTAACCGCCTCACTCAGCACAAACAACGCCCGCCTGTAAAGTATAACTGAAATAAAACCCTGTTAAAATGCTAAGTCTATTCCACTGTTTGTGGCAAACATGAAAGTCTGGATAACATTGTGCATACATTATTGCAGTAATATTTTACAGTTCAATTAGTTTAAAACGCATCTTGAAGCTTAGAAGCAACCAAAAAATATATATATTTAAAGAAATTTTTTTTTGCTAGAACCATTAAAAATATGAACGAATTTCGCAATTTAACCGCCTCACTCAGCACAAACAACGCCCGCCTGTAAAGTATAACTGAAATAAAACCCTGTTAAAATGCTAAGTCTATTCCACTGTTTGTGCCAAACATGAAAGTTGTTCCAATGGTAAAATTGTGCACGCATTATTGCAGTAATATTTACAGTGCAATGAGTTAAAAACGCAACTTGAAGCTTAGAAACCCCCAAAAAACACATTTGTGCATATACCATTAAAAATAGAAACGAATTTGAATGTATTTAACGTTGTTCAGGTTGTTTAAAAACTCACTTAAAATCGGTTAAACAAATCTTTGCCATTACGGTATTAGTTGTACATTTTAAGTAGACATCCCCAGCGAGCACCAGCGGTGATGTTTACGAAAAGTCGTGAGGGCTCAATACAATATCCCAGATAAGTAAGTTCACCAGGGTTGGCCTTCGGAGGGAATGGCGCCCCGTACGAACTTTGCATTGGTTACCTCCAATTCCACTCGTGTTGGTTTATTCTCTTAGTTATTAGACTTAAATACAGCAGCACTGTAGCAGTGGGGAAACACGACTGAAAATAGAACCCCCCCCCCCGCCATAGAGTTAATGCGGTGTGTGTTATGTTCTCCTGAGAGAGGGAGTTGGAGCATGCCTGTGCATGTTTGGAAATGTGATAAGAGTCTGGGTGTGGGCTCGGGTTCACCAGTCGAACGAAGTAAACTGATAACACCGCACATGAAACGATCTGTCATAAAGAGTATGAAACCTATAAATTGCGTGTGGTGGAGTTTGTGCATGATGGGGGATCACACCTCCCACCCAGCACTAAACGATGTTCCCATTCCCTACAACTGGTTCATATCACACTCGTCGCCCATGTTAGCTGTGAATGAATTAAACTGAGATTGCCGGCTTCGGTGCAGTGATGCCCTTCCCATCTCTGTGAGGTTTGCTCGTTTTAATTTTAACGTGGAAGAGTGAGTTCAGATTAAATTTATCTCCCATGCAATCTATATATATAAAATCGCAAATCTGTCTGTCTGTCTGTGTGTGTGTCTGTGTATCGGACCATACGCAGTTTCATTGGACGAAATGTCAGGGATTTGTGAGACACGATTGGTCCG